TTGTCTTTCTAGGTGTGGGCCAACCGAATCATGTCCCAACAGTCTTTGTAAGAAAGAAATCGGTTCGTGGTCTGTCATATTACCATCCGAAACATTTTTGAAATTGTTGTCAGCGGCCCCAAACTCTATACCACTTAATAAAGTTTCGTAGATGTAGGCGTAGATTCCTTGCTATTCATTTTCATTTTTTTCCATTATGATCTACTTAAAATTGTTCTAATCTTTTCTTATCCGTTTTTTCACAAAACGCCATTTTAAGGGTCTAAAATATATTCTGTTGATGATAACTCCAGGTTACTCAGATGAAGTGGTTGGGTATTGCATGGAACGCTCCCCGTTGGTATCTATGGTAGGGTTATCCGTCCATAAAGTTTTAGAATTTCCTTTCAGTACAATAAATCCAGTAAAAATATTAAAGTTAAAGTTGTTCTGTTGAACAATTTCTAAACAACTGATAGTAAATATTAAGCTCATTTGTGAATTCACAACTACTGTCTCATTGTTTTATCTAGGTATTTTTTATGCCTCAACCTATGAAACTATTCGGGACGCTGCATCGGTATTTGACAATCTCGGTCCTTCTGGTCGATCATTTCTCGGTGGAGCGGCCGCTTCGCTTGTAGCACAAAGCATGGTTGTACCTATCGATATCATTTCTCAGCACATCATGGTACTTAGCCGTGCCGGTCCAGCACAGACCGGGACTGTTGCGCTCAAAGCTCTACCTCTCTCCACTTCTGCACGTATGGACCAAATTCGTGCGCTCACTCCGCTTCGGCTTCGTCCAGACGAATTGTCCTCCAGTTGGACACGGTTCCGTTCCGTGACTGCACACATCGCCAAACGACATGGAATCCGTGGTTTCTATAGAGGCTACGTAATATCCCTATGCACATTTGTGCCCAGCTCTGCTCTTTGGTGGGGTTTTTACGATAAGATTTGCCGTAAGTCTCGTTATCCTTGACCGATCTTTTTCTTTTCGAATCGTTTGAAATGAAGAAATGCACCACCGCGCCACCGCCACCCAACTTTGGTGTTAGACAGCTTTGCTGTCGCCCGGCTCAATACCACACCTGACCTATGTGGTTCGTCACTCCAAGTCCCGGGGCTTAAGTTGCCGATTTTCACCACTGAATAGCAGGTCCTCGTGACTGTGAGGTTTTTCGTTTCAGTTTGTGTAACCACTGACTATGCACTATCGTGCGAAGGTATTGGTTGCTGTCTTTTGGCTGCTCATTTGGATGGACATGAGGAGAGAGACAAGAAAAGGTTGAAAGTAGGATCGAAAATAATTTAGGATTTCATTGCATTAATTTTGCAGAGAAATCGATAAGATGTTTACGACACCCAGCCATATCACTGTGTCTCTAAACATCGGGTACGATCATCCCGAGGTCCCCAACCAGGGAGCCTAACAGAACCTATGTGACCCAGACTCCTGGTTAGGGTTTTAATACCCTCGTGCCAGGTCTTATTTTGACCACCCTGGGCTTTATTCCACCCACTACCTGCCTCGGCAACCTATCTGGTGACATGCGTAACACATGCCCCAACAAACGTAATCTATGGAGGTCGACTATTGGCTCCAGTGGGTGACCGCGGATACCCCAAACTCTACGCCTAACCTCAGTATTGCTCGTCCGGCTGCCCCACCAGATTCGTGCCATGCTGCGTAGACAGCGGTGTTCGAACACCGATAGTCTATCTTTATCCTGTTTCCTTAATGGACAAGTTTCTGCGCCTTATAGCAGAACTGGCCGAACTGCAGCGGCATACACTCGACCCTTCACAGACAACCGGATGTTGCGACGGCGCTACAGTTGTCTCAATTTGGCAAACGTTAACCGAGCCTTCTGTATGCGAGCAGTCAATTTGTCCGTGATGCGTTCACCGGGTGAGATGTAGCTGCCCAAAGAACAAAACTATGCACCTGCTCTATTACTTTTCCAGTTAGAGCGGGGCTGGGTGCTGGACGGATCCTGTCTTGTAGTAACATTTTGCACTTTGGGGGTGCAAAACGCATACCGAACATGGCTACACTGGCATTCATGCTGTCGAAAAAGCTTGCAACTTACCTGCATCTTCACTTAGTAGTACAATGTCGTCTGCATACTCTAGATCAGACAGTTTGCCACTTGGAAGTAAATCGAGGCCACTATCCTCGCACGAGGATAGATCTATAACAAAGTTGAATAGAAAAGGAGAGAGAGGGAAATCCCTACGATCACCACTTTCTGTGGTAAACTCGGGCGAAAAAGTGCCGTAAGCCCGGACTCGACTTCGGCTATTAGCATAAAGGGATCTTAATATTGAAATAAACTTCTCGAGCACCCTTCAAGGAAAGGCAGCGCCAGAGTTTAGATCGGCTGATTGAGTCGAAGACCGCTTTAAAGTCGAGAAAAATAGAGGTGGTGGGTCTACGAGAGGAATGTCGACTCTCCAGAATTTGGCGGAGAGTGAAGATGTGGTCGATACAACCTCGACCGGGTCTAATACCAGCCTGGTTCTCACGCGTGCACCGTTCACGTGCGGCAGACAATCGTCGGAGTATGATGTCGGCGAGAAGTTTAGAGGCAATATTGATTAAACTAATTCCTCTGTGGTTTTCACAGGAGGACCTGTCGCCTTTCTTGTAAATCGGTATGATTACCGATTCACATCATTCAGCCGGAACCTCTCTCACACTGAGCCCAAGAGTTTTGTTAACTCCAAAACCAAGGCTGAACCTCCATCCCTAAAAACCGATGGGGGCAGCCGGTCGGGGCCGGAAGCCTTATACCTTTTGAGAAAGCTTATTTCTCGAGTAACCTCTATTTCAGATGAAGGACTGATGTCAACTGGCAGTATTTGTACAGTTGAATCGGGTGTAGGGAGGTCTTGTGCTGACGAGAGCCAGCTGAACTGAGCCTTAAAATGTTCTACCCATCGATCTAGATAGCGTTGCTGAATATGGATCAGTGTGTCGTCGGACTCCTTAATTCAAGTCAAGTCAAGGAATGGCTTTTTACACCCCGAGAGGTGGATATTCAGCAACCACATAACCATAGTGTGTCAAAAAATACGTAAAAAACAATAGTATGATACAGCAGTTAAAAGGATGTGAAAAGGGACAGCAACATCCAAAATAAGTGGCACACCTGGGTGTTCATGAANGATTTAGTGTAGTGTTTGACGCAGATTTCCCGTAACGAGGTCTTGGTTTGTTAGAAATCTGGCGAGATAAGCAACAACAGACCGCCTGTAAGCTTCAGTGCGAGTCTTTATGAGTTTGTGAGTGGAACGGGTGGATGAGTGAGAAAGGCAGTCGCTAAGAGAGGAATAAAGAGGATGGGAGATATCAGATAAAATCTTATTAGAGAATGTTTTACAGGACTTGAAGTGATGTGTCACCACAAACTCTACTAATGTTCCCGTGGAATGAGACTACAAACGGAGAGAAATCTGAGGGATCGGAAAATGAGTTTGAGGTCCTTGTTCAAAAGAC